GGACCGCGGACGGGACCCGAGGGCCATCCTGGCCCCGCCGCGGCCCCGCCGGGAGGCCTGGGCCGGGGGCCGCTTGGACACAGTGTTGGGCTCCTCTTGTGATTAATCTGCCCTCACACAGGCAGAACAGGCGGTGCCGCCCTTGTCCTCGCTCCGGAAACGACCCTGGGGCTCAGAGAGGGCAAGGAACTCGCTTAGCGTCACACAGTAAGTAACGGTGACAGGGACCAAACCTAGACTCACAGCGCCCCCCAAGCCTGCGCTCCCACGGGGGGCGTGGCTGGTCCTGCTTCATGCCTCAGGCAGGACGCTGGACTGTGCGGCACCTCCCAGGGACCTTTTAGAGACTGGATTTCAGGTCCTGTCCTTTTTAAGTAGGTTTAGAATTGGAGGAGCGGAGAAGATCATGGCCTTTCAGTTAATTAAAAAAATAATAATACTGTCGACAATGAAAAATAAATGTTTATTTCTTGAGGAGGTAATCTACACACATGGTCCATAATTAAAAAGAGTAGCAGAGCCCGGCCGGACGTGGCTCAGCGGTTGAGCCTCGACCTAGGATCCAGGCGATCGGGGTTCGATTTTCGGTGAGGGCACATGCCGGGGTTGTGGGCTAGGCAGCCGATCAGTGACTCTCATCATTGATGTTTCTCTCTCTCTCTCTCCCTCTCTTTTCCTCTCTCTGAAATCAATAAAGATATATTTAAAAAAAAAAGAGAGTAGCAGAGAAAAGTAANAAAAAAAAAAAGAGAGTCGCAGAGAAAAGTAAAATCCCCCTCCCACCGCCCCGTACCCCTCTGCAGGGNGAGAGTAGCAGAGAAAAGTAAAATCCCCCTCCCACCGCCCCGTACCCCTCTGCAGGGCCATCGCGGCTGATACGTGGCCTGTGCTTGCACGTGGCCATGCGACGTGGGTGTGCAGAGTTTTTGCAGACACAGTAGCACTATGTGATTTTTTTGGGTCAGGTTTGTTGGGAAAGTGCATCCACATAATTTCTGATCAGTTGTGAAAACTGTCTTTGAATACCGCACCTGGGAAGTCATCAGGGACTCACTCTAACGCGATGTTCCAGTGGGCAATGTCTGGGCACGAGCATATCGTACACGTCTGTGCTCACCAACCCTCGTAGTCGAACCCTGAGTTTCAAACAGTATTAATCCTGTTTGAAAACAAGGGTCTCAGAGAACCTCTGTCCCTTGTCTGAAGTCCAGTGGCAAAGCTGGAATCTGGATCCCGGAATCTTTTTCTTTCTCTCCTTGTAAAATATTAGACAATAGTTCACATGTAAAAACATCTTGTAATGTGCACACCCTGGTGTACTCAGGTTAAACAAGTTTTAACATTTTGTCATATGTGCTTCGGTTCTTTTTTAGAAAAGAAATGACACTGTCGAAACAGCTGAAGGCCTCTTTTAAATTCCTGCGGCCTGGATCTTTCCCTCTTTCTCTGTCTCCTCCCTCGGAGGCAGCCGCGGTGCGCTGTCCTAGGGCCGGGTTGTGTGCTCTTTCTTTCTTTGGTAGAAACCAAATCCAGAGGCAAAGCTGGAAGCTGGATCCGGGACCTAAAGGCACGCGGCCTTTCTCACTCAGCGTTCCTTTCTGAGACCTGTGTTGGCTGATACACGTGGATCTAGTTCCCTCATTTTAACAACTATAGCAAGCCACTGTGTAAACGTGCTGCAGTTCATTCACTCATATACAGACATATAGAGACATCTCTGCGAATAGATGTACACACGTCTACGTATGTCTAGGTCTGTTTATATATACACATAGACATGCACACGTACACAGACATGTCTATATGTGTTTATATGTACACACAGTATACACATATGTGTGTACATATGTGCGGGAAAAGAATTCTAGACAGTGGGAATGGCAAGTGCAAAGGCCCTGAGGTGGGAATGAGTTTGATATTCATGGAACAGAAAGAAGGCCTCTTCTCATTCCTATTGCCACTCCCGCTTTACAGATGAGGAAACTGAGGCTTGGAGTTTTAGGTGATTGCCCAAAGCCTCATACTGGGTGGGGAGGGGGCAGAAGCTGACTCTAGCCCCCCCCCACTCTGTCTGACTTCAAGGCATAGCAAGTTCTGCTTTGCTGATTTTTGATGGTAGAAAATGGTTATCAGCTGGAGGAAAGCGATTCCTGCTCCCACGACTTAGAAAAGCGCCCTCACTCCTCAGAGCCTGTTTTCTGTCCCCCGAGCAATGCCCACATTCTCTCCCACATCCCCAACCTTGCCCGCCAGCCTCCGAGGCAGGAGTGAGTAGGTCTGGGGCCTCCCCAGAAAAAATGTCGTATATGTTCTGACTTTTCACCCGTCTCCACTCCCCAGTTGAATCCTGCTTGACGTGTGGTGCTAAAACTTCTCCATATCCAAACTCTTTAAAGATATTTCCACCCCATCCAATTAACGCTTTAAGTCAAGCGGTCATCAACTCCAAGTGAAATTGCCAGGTAGTCATATTTGACATTTTCTTAAGTTTCTAGTAATTGCCTCTCTTGAGGAACTAACCTGCAGACACTGAGCTTCCTATTTCTTTTTTCTGTGTGTGTGTCTTAATTTATCTTTATTGTTACAAGTATCATAGATGTCCCCCTTTCCCCCAANTTGGGATGATCCAGATGTGTGAGCACCAGAGGCCCACAGAAGAAAGGAGCGATGCTTGTGTATTGATTTTCTAAGGAAGAAATGAGGCCCTAGCTGGTCTGGCTCAGTGGTTAGAGGGTCGGCCTGTGGACTGAAGGGTCCTGGGTTTAGTTCCATCCAAGGGCACGTACCTCAGGTTGCAATGTTTTTTCTCTCCCCTCCCTTCCACTCTCTCTGAAAAGCAATGGAAAAAATATCCTCGAGTGAGGATTAAAAAA